ACTAAATATAAGCTATACTACTTTGAAAATAATCGTTTGTAATAATACTGTGTGAATATTGTATGCGAAGCTTCTTATAAAACTAATAAGAATTTCAAACTGTTATTTATGTTTCCTAATACTTTTAAAACTTTTTTTATATGCCTACTTTCACAACTGAATGAAATACAATGACAAGCACCACCACCACTTATTTAGGTCCTGTAAAATATGTCAACAATCTTTTTTTTTTAATCTGTAAAAACCATTATCATCATCACAACTACTGAAAATAATCATTCTGGTATATGAAATACATATTAAATCAACTCATTTCCCATTTCAGGTATTGGAGAAGGGCTTTTACATTCACAATCCCTAATCTTCAAAACAGTCCTAAAGGAAATTTCTCCTCTTCCAAACACAAGAAAACTCAGGCTTCAAAATAACTATGAAACTTGTACCCAAGTCCAGATAAGTAAGATAATAAGTGGAATATTAACAAAATTGAAACCCAGGTCAATCTAGCTCCAAACATGCATTCTTTCTACTGTAACATTTTAGTAAAATTATTAAATACATTGGTTCTCCAGTGCAATTCACCTTCTGCTTTAAAACAAACCAAAGTAAATTACATTACTTATTTAGGGAAAATACACCATTACTTACTAGAAATTCAATTATTAAAAACAATTCAAGTCCCGTTATTTAACACAAAATGTTTAATTATCCAGATATTTTCAAAACCTTGAATTTCATGATGCCTAGGAAATCATTTTTTTTCTGCCAACAATCTAGTTGGTAGAAATGGATGCCCATTCTATGCAACTTGACATTTCTTTCCCCTCTGCTTTAAAAGAAAATAGTTTATTAAAATGATATGAGATCCTATAATCATATTTTAGTCACAATGATCAAAGACACTTAAAAGCATCCTAGATGTTTTTCTATAGATGTCTACTTTTACAAAATGCTTGCAAGTTATGAAATAGTTTTAGGTATAATTCAACTACAGAACAACAGACAGAGAGAAGGTAAAAAAAATATATACTTTGTGAAGGCAGAAAGATAAATGAACCAATAATAAAAGAGATTGATGGTGGCATACAGGTTCCAAATGCCAAGCAAAAATAAATAGTATTCTGACTCAAGAAACTAATAAACCACTTACAAGTTACCTTTTGCTAGGTTTTTGTCCTAGTTATTTATTTTGTTTGGCAGAAGAACCATAAGAATCACGGCTACAAAAGGTTAATTGCTAGTTCATTTCTAAAATAAAGAGCACATTTGCTTTTTACCTAAAATCAGTAAGATAAGATTTTTAAAATATTTGCTAGCATCCAATAAACCACATGTAAGGACTCAACATAAGCAGTTCTATAAGTAGTTTTTTATCCAAATTTCAAATGAATATAATGATTTAGAACCATGCTTACTTTTTTAGCTTAACAGAAAATAGTTTAAAAACAATCCATATTTAAATTGAGCTTAAGTGAAAATAACTACTCTGTACATAAATACACATTAAATATGATTTCCTAAAATAGTAAACTTGAAAATAATATTGAAGAAACCACAACACTGAATGGTGTTTATCTAAAGCTTCCCAAGCTGTGTGATTCTCATCATCAATTGGTAAGAAATATTTAAAATAGAGCAGACTTAATATTTAATTTGGGTAGGCACAGTAACCTTTTTAAATCTATCTTAGGGAACACTGACCCCTAAAGGTTCTAAACTTAAATATGTTTTACAATATACTAAATTTAACTGGCACCCAGACCTCATTTTTACCTACATTACTGTAGGTATGTATACTTATGGCATACACGTTTAATCATAAATAATATATAAGATATTTCCAGTGGACTGCTGTTTCTGCTAATTTAATAGAAATCACCAAAATTTAATATAAAAAATATCCAGAAAATTTTTATACCATTCCAATTAATTACTCATAGGAGATTTTTGACCCCCTTTTTTCTTATACAGTAAAGTAATAAGTAAATGCTAAAAAGGGCTAAAATCACATAACAACTCATTCTTTCTGAGGGCTAACTTTACATGCATACTTGGATTACGACCTTTCTTTTTTTTTCCCTCTTAAAAAGCAGGAAAAAAAGAATCTTGGGGGAAAAAAAAGTTTTCATGAAAGGGCACAACATCATTTACTTCTTGAGAAGCCAGAAGGTGTTACTAATGCTCACTGGGCATTACACATTTATTCCCTCACATATTGCTTCCATCAGCTGAAAATTTCATTCATTCAGGTCTGTTTTCTAACTACATAAAGAAACCTGGACAGCCCGGTCGGCGTGGCTCAGCGGTTGAGCATCGACCCTGTGGTTCAGGAGATCGCAGGTAAATTCTGGGTCGGGGCACGTGCCCGGGCTGCGCGCTTGATCCCTAGCAAGGGTGTGTGTGTGCAGTAGGTAGCCAATCGATGACTCTCATTATTGATGTTTCTCTCTCTCTCTCTCCCTCTCCCTTCCTCTCTCTGAAATCAATAAAAATATATTTAAAAATAAATTAAAAACTTAAAATAAAAAAAGAAACCTGGACATGTTTTATAGATGTCTTCTCCCATCCTACCTATAAACGTCAACTTTACATTTTCCAAACTACCTACAAATGACAAAAACAAAGAAAAATGTAAATGGTTATATTAATATACCTCATCCATTCTTTGATTTAAATATTCAGCAATGTTTCTACAATAAAGTTAGGAAAAGAATAACTACTTTACTTTAGTACTCCTCATAATGAAATTTGTAAGAGGACACAAAAGCAAATCTGTGTAATGCAGATTGTAATACAAATTTTTAATTAGCTCAATATAAAAAAAATAAGTAACATTCAATAAAATAACTATTGATGAGCTAGGCTATGAACATTTGTGTAAGAGAGTTTTGAAGCAATCTGTAATTTATGGTAAGTCCCATGACCAGTGATATAAAGGAAATGACCATGTAGACTTCACTGGTTTAAACATATCTGTTATTACTAAACTCAAAAGATCTTACATTTACCTGTTTAATTTTATTCCATAATACTGTTTCATGAACAGGCCCTTTATAAAATATATACTTGTCCAATTCCTATTTCCAATGTCAAAAACATGCCTGTAAAAATGCAAATTTTCTTAATGCTGTTTAGTCACATCTATTGTGGTCTGTTTCTTGCAAACTATGCATCCGTGTCTTTAGCCCTAAAATCATCCATCCTTTTGATGAGCATCCTAGAACTTCAGCAGCTCCTTCCTCTGCATCTTTCCTGCTTGTTCTACATTTATGAGAAGAATTTCCTCCATAGCCTCTAGCTCTTCAGATATATTAAAAATAATTCCTTTGGCTTAAAGATCCGGCTGCGTATAGTTTGAACAACATGACTTTTCACAGTAATGTGACCTCTGAATAGGGAACATAAGTAACATCATTATTTACTTCCTTTTTTCTCATTTTGTACATAAATGCAGTAAAACTGCTTTGAGTGCTTCAGAAGAAGACTGCTTGCTTGCTTGTTTGCATAAATGAATAAAAACAGGTAAAACAAACTAGTTCCCAGGTTCACACGTATGTATCCTTGACACAAACTTATATAAAGAGAGTAGACCAAAATTAAGTGTCACGAAGTCCATACACTAAAACATTTAACTTTGTATTAAAAACCTTTAACTACCTTACTTGATATTACTTTATACACAATTTGGTTATCTCGATTCTAAACTCATAACAAGCAGCCAAAAATCACAAATAAGACAGAAGTTGTTAATGGTAGGCAGAAACAACAAGAAAATTTGCAACAGTATGTAAATAAAAAACAAACGTAGAAATCAGAAAAAGGGATACTGAGGAAGCACAGCATCATTCTATTCCTGAAAAGAATGTGTAATTATTAACTTATTTAGTACAATTATGCTAGAACAATCCCTCAATATGGCCTTTAACCTTCTGAAAAAGGTAAAGGTTGAAATACGGTGAAAAAGGAGCCCTGTTAGGAAAGGGAAATCCAGAAACAGAGAAGGATGTGTAATGTGTTGGCAATAATCCTATTTTTAAATTATAGAACTAGAGAAAATAAAAATGAAGGGCATAAGGTTTAAGCCTTCAACTATATGTGATACTATAGTCAGAATGGTCCATTTCCCAAGGATTCCAGATTTGCAACATTTTACATAAGATACCTCAATTAAACACCTAACATTTTTTAAACCTCGCTCTTTATGGCTCTATCTTGCTCTATAGCCAGATGTGCCCTCTTTATCTCTCTCTCTTCCAGGCCATCTCTCAGTCTGTCTTTCAAATTGTTTCTGTCCCTGACTGTTCTTTCCCTCTGCCTGTACATACGTGTTTATCTTTCTCTCTCTCTCCTTGTCTCTGTCGCCATCTGCACATCTCTGCATGTCTCTGTCTCTCTGACTGTCTCTGGCCCCCTCTGACACCATCTCCCTGTGGGTGTGTCTGTCTGTATGCCTATGCCTCTATCTCTCAGTGTCTTTCTCTCTTTCTCAACGTATCTCTCTGTCTCCTTCTCACTGGGTTTCTCTTATTTTGGTTTCTCGGAGGCTGGGTATGCGTGTGTGTCTTCATGTGTGTATCTATGCACATGTGTTTCTCTCTGTGTCTCCCTACTTGAGTGTAGGCTCCCCCTTACTGTTCTGCATCTCTTTCTGTTTCTTTCTCTGAGTGTACCTCTTTATGCATCTCTCTCCCAGTCATTCTCTCAGTCTGTCCCATTTTGTGTCTTTCCCTATGTGTCTGTCTCCCTTTCCCTCTCAATACATCTTCCTCTGTGTGTGTCTCTTTCTCTGCGCATGCATGTCTTTTTCTGTGTATCATTCTTTGTGTCTCTTTTGCAGTATGTGGGTCTCTTTGTGTGTGTCCCCTCCTTTGTGTCTGTGGGTCCATGTGTGTGTGCTTGTCTGCCTGTCTAATATATTGGTTAGAACAAACATACTTCATTCAGTGCCTTGAACTAGCACAACACCTGGGGTTTGGTATTAATACCTTAAAAGTCCTTACCTTTTGACCAGTCCTCCATTTGTACTTCTGCTCTTGTTTGCTCTGGCAATATCTCGGGTTTTTGCTCCAAGATTTGAAGCTAAAATAAAGCCAACTCTAGATAAATAAACTTAAACAATATATCAGAACACACCTAAGCCTTACCTTTGTTTAAAAGAGAATTTACAGGATAAATGATTTTCTAAAACATTTATAATGGGACAATTAACTGTATTTCAACAGACAAAATTAAATCTTTTTTCTCAGAAACAGGTTCTTTCTTTTACACTTATATTTTAGTAAATATAGTTCAGGTTAAGCTTTTAGACATTCTTGCTCCTTTGGTTAGAGAACCATTTAATTTATCTAAGTAGGTCTTCTCCAACTATAACTTCAACTAGTTAACAAAAATAAAGTTTCTAGTCTATTTGTCATAAACTTTACACCAAAAATTTCAAATTTACTAATTCGAATTTACAATGTATATTTTCATATTAAATATATTATACTTGTAAAATATTTAAAAATGCTTTTCTGATTTTTTTAAAAAAACATAAAGACTATCATTAACTTGTGGAATTATTAGCGTTTCTCTCTTACATTTGATTTCATAATAAACATAACAAAAGCTCTGCAAGTTTTTTTGTGTGCATGCTTTTAAGGAGAATAAAATTAAATTTACCTCACAGCTAGAACTCGGCAATCTTTAAAAAGTCCTCAAATAAAGCTGTAGTAAGCTTCTCCTTTTCCAATTTTCTCTAAATATGTTGATCTGGAGTTGGCAATCTTTTTCTAAGTTCCTCATTTACTTTTGGATTAGCTGAAAATATAGGAAGTTATTAATATCAAAGAAATATGTTCTAGTCAATGAAGCTATTTCCCTACATATTGCCCAAAAAGGTTAATAATAATTGCAGTCTTTTAATAAGAGATTCATATAGCAAGACATGTAGAAAATACAGTCTTTAATAACCTCTGGAGTATTTTAAAACATGTCTTATAGGCCTTAATGTGCTTAGTAATATACTATTTAAAACCATAATTTTATCCCTCTATAATATACAGTCACTCTTCCTCATCATTTACCCAGCTAATGAATGCCAGCAATTAGTAAAATGTAATCCCATTGCACAATCATTTTAATGCTTTTAGCACTCAGAAAAGTAAACACCAAATTAATACTGCTCAAGCCATATCAGATCCTAGTTGGAAGCAAGCAATTATAGTTCAGCTCCTCAGGTGTAATTAAATGATTGGAATGATTTAGTTCCATAAATGCAAGTTAATTCATAAGCAAGCAACAAATATACTGGGAGTAATTACAAGAAACATTGACAGTCTAAGCAGGGCTAATTCTTTCATGAGGCTGACACAGTAAAATGCTGCCCTCTGCTGGGCATATAAGTGAATATGTCAGATCTGAAAACAAAACCATCCCCCTGCCCCATACCTAACTTAAGCAGCCACTAGAAAAAAATCGTAATAGTCAATATATCAATTTGATTTCAACCCTTACACAAAAATTTTAAAGTATGCATTATATTGTGATAATTTCTACACACCCTGGTAATTAATGCTTTTTCCAATCAAACTCTGAATATGAGTCCCAAAACATACCAGGCTATTCCTACATGTCTGATGAAATTAAATCATTCACATATAACTTTGATAGATTACAAGTGAAACTTCTAGTACTCATCTGGACTGCCAGGTCAAGGCTTATATTCTCTCATAGGTGAACCCTAAGTGAACTGTTACAGAAAATAATGAAACTATGCTTTGTAAGTACTAAAATTCACACACACAAAAATAATCTCTGAAAAGTATAAAACAAAATACTTGTTATTGTGACTATATATAATAGTCTAAAACTAATTGTTTTTAATGAACTTCAATAACAAAAGTAAAAGCTGTAACACTGGTATAATGTCATTATAAGCATATTTTAAAACAAAGAATAAGAGGTAGCCCGGCAAGCATGGTTCAGTGGTTGAGCGTCAACCTATGAACCAGGAGGTCACGTTTCGATGCCTGGTAGGGCACATGCCAGGGTTGTGGGCTCAGTCTCCAGTAGGGGGCATGCAGGAGGCAGCTGATCAATGACTGTCTGTCATCACTGATGTTTCTCTCTCTCTCCCCCTCTCCCTTCCTCTCTCTGAAATCAATAAAAAAAAGAAAAACAGGTAGGACAAAAATAAAATGCGTCTCACTTTTACTTAAGCTATCCCCAACTTTTTACTTTCTTAGGCCAAAATACAGAACAAATTTACTTGTATACTAATCATATGGCTCTTAACTAAACTTCTCACACTAAACTTTAAGGAGCTTATTTAATATACACTTAAGTTATGCTATAATCAGTAAGTCTGTGTTAACACCTGTATTTGTAGCACTAAACCCAATCAGAATCATCACTTAGACTATCTGCAAAAATTGAACATATTCTCAAATATTACTAATAACACAACAAATGTTTAATTCTCCAATAAATGTAAGTAAGTGACACTTGCAGAAAATAATGTTTAACACTACCAATATTTTGGGGCAGGGTGTGAGCATTATTACTCTTCAAATATGCTTTCAAATACACTAAACTAACCATATTCTAAGTCCTATCCTATGAAAACTATACAAATAAAATAAATCAAAATATTAAACAGTCCTGTCACTAAGTTTAAAATGTACAGCACATTTGCTTTGCCCTTGATGTCACAGTCTTATTTTTCAATTCATATCTTGTACACTGTAAGTTAATTGCTTTTGGAAAGTACTTATTATTCATGTAAAAATTAATGTGCCAATGTGTTTAAATCCTCTTAAATGAACATTCGTGCATCTTCCTTCTTTAAGTACCAATGAAATCTGTCAAAAGACATCAATGCAAAATGATATTAAAGAAAGTTCTAATAGAGATTTTTTTGTGCTAACACAAGATTTTCATATTCACTAACTTTACTTAAATTCCATTAATTTTTTAAGCTACTTTTAATAAATTCACCAAGTAAAATTTTTAGGCCCCATAGTCTGTCATTTGTGTTCCAGCTGACATTATGAATATTAATAACAGTGTTATCCTGATTAAATAGGCTTCATATGAAATCCCTGTGAATCCTATAGCTCAGACATCTCATTTTTCCAACTCTTTATGAATTTGGATTCTGACATTAAACTGGAAAAATCTTAAAAAACAGATTTAATGGCACATTTGCATAATGTCAAGCAAAAATTAGATGTTCTAATGAATCAAGCTAATTACAACTTATGTGCCTACATACTGTAATAGGAATAAAAGATTTCTGTAAACATGCGACATATTTTACACTTCTATTCATTTTAGGACAAAGGATTAAGACTAATAAAATACTGATTTGTTTTCTTAAACTCATCTTAAAGATTTGATATCAATAACTTGTTTCAATAAAAAAATTACATATTCATGTGGGACGATTTAATACTAGACATCAGGTAAATTAGGCTTCTTAATAAAAATGCTAACTTATTAAAACAGACAAAATATAAGTTCATTGCTTTACCACTATTAATGTATACCAGGTTCGAGTAGCAGAGTAAAACTGATTTCCAACTAAAGCTTGTTTATTTATAAGCTGTGCTGGAAAAAATTACCCATGTTAAAAAACAAAAAGAAAATCTTTAAAATAACAGACAGAACATACTATATAGCATCTGTTAAAATCTTCTCAATCACAGATTCCTAACCTCATTCCAAATTGTTTTTAATTCTCAAAGGAAGTGAGTCTTGTTATGTAGAAGAAAGAAAAAACAATAATTAAGGAAACTGCATACTCCCTTCTTTTTATAGGTACATGTGAATCTGAATATATGTGCCAAAATTTTGTAATTTCAAAAAATATAGATGGAAAAAATTTAATCAAACCTCTCTATGCTTGCAAGTGTGACTTGACTCTCCTAGTTTACTTAGCAGTAAAACACCAGTGAAACAAAATCTGTTCTAATCTGCCTAAAAAATTATAGGTGATTCCAACATTTATCTTGTAAAATTAAATGCCTTTTTGATAGAGAGGAATTCAAAAATGGGATTTCATTCCCCAATGTAACACCAGCCAGGATTTTTTAACACTTATTTTACATATGAGATGCCATTCCTACTTTCCTCCAGAAAAGCCACATTATGGCAAAGGTTTTTGGCTGACTCTGGTTAATGGCATTTTTCCCCCTAATGCCTCCTTATTTTAATCATAAATTTGTGTAAATTGAATCCAACAGTATCAAACTAGGAGTCATTTATAGTACGGCCTCATATCTATCTATAACTCCATAAAACTCCAAATTTCGTATTTCCTAGATTGAGAAATGTTGATAATTTCTGCACTGAAATGATTTCATTAACAGGCCAAAGGAGAGCCAAATATATTCTCTCATAACTCAACATATACAACATATAGGTATGTTCTATTGCTGGGTTTTCATCTTAATAGACAAAAGTCTCTGAAGTAGCCACAGTCCCTGGCCCATTCTCTACCCAAAAGCATTTCACTCACTGTGCCTCAGCACAGCCCACTCCCTCCCCACCGAGCTGCAGACAACCCAGGTTCCTGAGAACCAGCGAGGGCAAGAGGAGGTTCAGGGAGAAAGGGTATGAATAAAAGTGGCCCCATACCTCAGCTCTCAAAACTTAAAACTGCATATACTATCAGACCCCTCAGTTCCATTCTTAAAAGCATTTAGAAAACTAACGTATAAAGATACTATTAAAGCAGTATTTATTTGTAAGAGAAACTACTCATGCTCTAGTCATATGGTACATTTTTCTGATCACTGAACTCACCAAGCTTTTCCTTGACTCAGAACTTTTACATTTACTGTATTTCCTCTGCTCAGAATCCCCTTTTTTAGATCTCTAAACCATTTTTTCTCATCATTTTAGGCCTTGCTCAAAAGTCATCTCTTCAAAAAGGTTTTGCCTGGTTATCCTATTAAATAAAATAGAAATTCCTTTCTCATCACACTACCTATGCTACTGCTGCCTTCATGGAATTAATTTGAGGTTTAGTTCATTGTTTTGTATACATCGCAGCCAACTATGCACAAGAAAAGTTACATGCAAGCAGGCCCTGATTTTCTCCTTCATCTGTGTCCTTAGAAGCGTGGTTGGCATACAGTAAGTACTCACTCAGTGCTTATGTGCTGGACAGACAGGTAGATGGGCGGGTGGATCGATGACTAGCAGAAAAGCAGACCTAACATAAATGTTCGTCAGTGGAAACCTGCTAGCCCTGGCCAGGTGGCTCGGTTGGTTGGGGTGCTGTCCCACGCCCCAAGGGGTTTCGGGCTCCGCTCCCGGTCAGGGCACATACCTGGGTTTCGGGTTTGATTCCTGGGAGGGCAAGTACAGGAGGCAACCCACTCACGTTTCTCTCACATCGATGTTTCTTTTTCTTTCTCTCCTTCTCTCTCTCAAATCAATAAAAACGTATCCTCAGGTGAGGAGTAAAAAAAAAAAGAAAACTGATAAAATAAAATGTAAGAAATATGGACTATGTGTGGAAGATTCTTTCAGCAAGTATTCGTTAAGCACCAATATATTATGTGTCGGACACTATTCCAGGAATTAGATATAAAGCGGTATATAAGACAAATGAATTTCCTACCCCAAATATGTCTTGAGCCAAAACAACATAGGTACAGAACGTGGATAAATTTAAAAAAGAAATAAGATTATACTCCCATGTGCATATATGATCGACTAGTATTTTTATTGAGTACGATACACAGTAAACTACCAGTGGTTACTGTGAAGAAACAGCCTAATAGATGAGGTGGAAAGAGTGAGAGAATTAAGAAAAGAAATATGTCTATTTCACTTTATATCTATCTGCATAGTTTCACTTTTTTTACCATGCGAATTTATTATTTTTAATTTAATAATTAAGTATTTATTAATAACTTTGGAATTCAACAGGAAACTTTGAAGGAAGCCACATTACATCTGAGAGATCCAAAATGACCATGGTAGGGCTCCCCTGAAACTCTAAAAAAAATTATTATTGCCTAACTAACCTTTTATAGTTACTCTTTGTATGGTTGTTTCTTTGCTTGCTTGGTTTAAGTACAGTGAAAAGTTAAAATTAAAATAATATATGGCAAG